CACAAAACTTAAGTCCAAATGGATCAAAGACCTCAACATAAATCCAGTTACTCTGAACCTGATAGAAGAGAAAGTAGGAAGTAGTCTTGAATGCATTGGCACAGGAGATCACTTCCTAAATATAACACCAGTAGCACAGACACTGAGAGAAACAATCAAGCAATGGGACCTCTTGAAACTGAGAAGCTTTTGTAGAGCTAAGGACATGGTCAACAAGACAAAGTGACAGCCTACAGAATGGGAAAAGATCTTCACGAACCCCACATCTGACAGAGGGCTGATATCCAGAATATATAAAGAACTCAAGAAATTAGACATCAAAATGCCCAACAGTCCAATTAAGAAATAGGCTATAGAGCTAAACAGAGAATTCTCAACAGAGGAAGCTCAAATGGCTGAAAGACATTTAAGGAATTGCTCAACATCCCTAATCATCAGGGAAATGCAAATCAAAATGACTCTGAGATACCACCTTACACCTGTCGGAATGCCTAAGAACAAAAACACTGAAGACAGCTTATGCTGGAGAGGATGTGGAGCAAGGGGAAGTCTCCTCCACTGTTGGGAATGCAAGCTTGTACAGCCACTTTGGAAATCAATATGGAGCTTTCTTAGAAAATTGGGAATCAATCTCCCCCAAGACCCATCTATACCACGCTTGGGCATATTCCCAAGGAATGCTCAATCATACCACAAGGGCACATGCTCAGTGATGTTCATAGCAGCATTATTTGTAATAGCCAGAATTTGGAAACAACCTAGATGCCCTTCAAGTGAAGAATGGATAAATAAAGTGTGGTACATATATACGATGGAGTACTACTCAGCAGAGAAAAACAATGATATCATGAGCTTTGTACGCAAATGGATGGATCTAGAAAAAAAATCCTGAATGAGGTAACCCAGACTCAGAAAGACAAACATAAGTACTCACTTATAGGTGGATACTAGATGTAAAACAAAGGATGACTAGACTGCTACTCACAACTCCAGGGAGGCTACCTGGAGGACCCTAAGAAAGACACAGATATCGCCCGACAGAGAAATGGATGAGATCTACATGAGCAAACTGGACGTTGTGTGTGTGTGGGGTAATAAAGGTCAAGGGTCGAGGGAAAGAGAGCTTAAGGGAGCAGGAGATCCCAGCTGGATCAAGAACAGAGAGGGAGAACAAGGAAAAAGAGACCATGATAAATGAAGACCATATGAGAATAGGAAGAAGCAGGGTGCTAGAGAGGTACCCAGAAACCCACAAAGATACCTCCACAATAGACTACTGGCAATGTTCGAGAGACAGCCCAAACTGACCTACTCCGGTGATAGGATGGCCAAACACCCTAACTGTTGTGCTAGAAATCTCACCCAATGACTGATGGAAGCAGATGCAGAGAACCTTGGCCAGGCCCCAGGTGGAGCTCTGGCAGTCCAATTGGCAAGAAAGAGGAAGGATTATTGTATGAGCAAGAATTGCTGAGACCATGATTGGAAAAAGCACAGGGACAAATAGCCAAAGTAGTGGAAACACATGAACTATGAACCAATAGCTGAGGAGCCCCCAACTGGATCAGGCCCTCTGGATAAGTGAGACAGTTGATTAGCTTGAACTGTTTGGGAGGCATCCAGACAGTGGGACCAGGTCCTGTCCTCAGTGCATGAGCTGGCTGTTTGGAACCTGGGGCCTATGCAGGGACACTTTGCTCAGCCTGGGTGAAGGGAGGAGGGGACTGGACCTGCCTTGACTGAAATCTACCAGGCTGATCTGAATCTCCAGTGGAGTCCTTGCCCTGGATGAGATGGGAATGGGGGGTGGACTCGGGGAAGGGCGGGGGGGGGCAGGACAGGGGAATCTGTGGCTGATATGTAAAATTAAATTAAATTATAAAATAAAATAAAAAACAAATTTGGAAAAGAAACAAGAGATGTAAAGTGCATAAGGTTGAGAGAAATAAAAGCTTAAGTTGTTTATCTATGAAAATGTTTTTAGCTCTAAAAAGATTTTATATATATATATTGGTTTTTCGAGACCAGGTTTCTCTGTGTAGCTTTGTGCCTTTCCTGCAATTCACTCTGTAGCCTAGGCTGGCCTCAAACTCACAGAGATCTGCCTGGCTCTGCCTCCTGAGTGCTGGGATTAAAGGCGTCCACCACCACCTTCCAGCTTAAAAAGATATTTTTTAGGATGGTAATACAAGTTATGATAGAAAGTGGTTTATGAATAAAACTTTGGACTCATCAAGATAGGATAGATAATAGAGTATTTTCTCCAAAGTTACCAAATACAAATGGACTTGACATTGTAAATGTAATTTTTACTTGATAATTGTTCTTATTATAGTTTTACTGTGTTAGTTAAACCCTTTCCTTTTTATTTAGACAAAAAGGGGGAACTGTTGAAGAATATTTGTGTACACTGTCAAGATGTGTCTTTGCCAAAGGCACCTTCTGATTGATTTGTAAAAAGCTGAATGGCCAATATCTAGGCAGGGGACAATAGGTAGGATTTCTAGGGAGAGAAAGGAAGAAGAGGAGGAATCTAGCTAGGCATGCAGATTTCACCAGAGACTCTGAAGAAGTCAAGCATATGGTACAGAACAGAGGTAACCAAGCCATGTGGCAGAATTCAGATTAATAGAGACAGATAAATTTAAGTTATAAGAGCTAGTTGGAAGAAAGCCTAAACTAAGGCTAAGCTTCCATAATTAATATTAAGTCTCTGTGTTGTTATTAGGGAGCTGGCAGTCCCATAAGAGAAAGTCCGACAAGAAAGTTTTCTACAAACAAGTCTAAGATAAGTCCAAGTTTTCATATTAATAAGTCTCTGTGTCATTATTGGGCTGGCGGTTTGACAAAAAAAGACTGATTATACCTTCTTATTCTGGGTTCAATTTAATTGGTGTTACAACAAACAAACAGCATGGACCCCAATAACTCGCCTCAGGTTTGATTTTATTAATAAGAACTTTTAATAACTTTTACATCTGGCGCCCAACGTTCGTGTTACAAATTCATGAAAAAGCTGTGGCCTTGTGAGCCCCAGCTCAGGCCCAAGCTAGACTCAGCCGGTTGTGGTGGCGCACACTGGTAGGATTTGCTGAAGGAGACAGAGGCAGTAGGATCCCGAGTTTGAGCTGGCCTAGGAGGCTTGGGAGAAGCTTTGGCCTGGACTGGGCCACAAACAGTGGTGGGACCATGAAAGCAGTGGCTACTGCTCCACGTTGCCAGCTCCTTCTCATCATGTTGGTGACTGCGGTGATGCTGCTACCTGGGAC